ACCACGCAATCGCATTCGTAAAAAACTTACATTTTTTAATTTAATTTCAATTTTAATTTAGTTTTATTAATAAAATAAAAACAAAAATGATGAGCCGTCATTAGGTGTAAAAAATAGAAATGTTATCCAAAGCGAGTCGACCTTTGTGTGTTTGTATATATTGGTACCGCTTTGCAGCGGTATAGACGTATGAAATCACACTAGCCGCTGAGTAATTGAATTATAATATTTATTTTATTACATATTTCGTCACGATATTAATTTTTTTATCTTTTTTGTTCACATTCACATTCTTTTTATATATTTCTAAATAAATAAGTCTCCAACAAAATGTAATACAATAATTAATATATAACTTGCTTGACAGCAGATTTCGATAGGGACAACTAATGACATTTGTGATTTGACATCTCAACCACGGTTTGGCCTGTCTGTCTGATTTGCAATTGAATGCGGCTGATGTACGACTTGAACAACTGGCTTTGTAACTGCAATAAGTATGAATTTTGGACGAAAATTGGACTCTTTTTCATACGTATCACTCAAGGCATGAAATTTTTTTCCATCAACCAAAGTCGCTCAAAATCCAATGATTTCTATTCCTCGCGACCCTTTATCATCCTGAATAGTCAGATTTTAAATAACTTTTTTGGGGGTTGAGATAATCGATGGACAAATTTTGCGTACAGAGGACAACGTACGACGTACGTCGTGGAACAGACCCTCAACAACCATGCTCAAAACGGCCTGATTCGGGTTCTCTGACCTCAGAAACGTTCAGAAAACATGTTTTTGAGGTGTCGTAAATTTTGGTCCATTGCAATACTTTCCCCTTACACACTAGGTGTATGCGGAAAAGAAATATGTATTGGGGGGTTAATCTTTTATCTTTGACTTAATTTTATTTTTAGATCAAGCGAAGGATGGAAATTACGATGATGGTAGATTGATAATTGTGACTGATAGCCAAGTTCTGGCAATCAAACTACATCGTTGTAACAGTGAGAAGATAACAAGTTGCACCGAATGTTTGGCACTGCAAGATCCTTATTGTGCATGGGATAGACTTGCTGGAAAATGTCGCTCACATGGCGCTCCACGTTGGCACGAGGAAACACACTTCTATCAAAATGTGGCAACTGGTTTGCATGCAGCATGTCCATCTGGTAAAATTACATCAAAAGATACAAATGCAAATGAAATTAAAGGCTTTCGCAATGATATGGGATTACTCGATTCGCATCGTTCAATGAAAGATTCTAGTGGTGAGGTTATAAATATTATGCAAGAAAAAAATTTCGATGGAAGTGGCAACGGGAATGGACCCCAAATCGCTGACATTGTCACAGCTCAATATTCAGTGGAAACCCTCGTAATGGCTGTATTAGCTGGCGGAATTTTTGCATTGTTAGTTGGATTCATAACGGGATATTTTTGTGGTAGACGATGTCACAAAGACGAAGACGATAATCTGCCTTATCCAGACACAGAGTACGAGTATTTTGAACAACGCCAGAATATAAATCGTATTCAAGCCGAACCGAAATTATTGCCACAAGTTGAAGAGGTTACCTACGCTGAACCGGTTCTACTTCAACCGGCTCCAAGTCAAAATAAAATCCACTCACCTAAAAATACCCTTCGCAAGCCAACAATGCACCATCATGGAGGCGGACCAAACTCTGAATCACTATTCCAATTCCAACCAGATGGATACAATACAACGTATCGTGGACGAGATAACTTTGGTACATTGCGATCGCATCAGGTGAGATATTTCATTGTAATAGTGACATATGTTATGTTATATTCAATCGTTATGATTTGTCAATCGTAAATTACTTCGGTTGTTTGAATTTATTTTGCAGACTCTGCAAGGTGATAACTATCGACGCGGTGACGGATTCTCAACAACTCGAAGTGTCAAGAAAGTAAGGATTATTACATTTTTAAACTGCACAAATATTTATAAACCATAAACTAGAGCTAGGGGACATTTATACTAGAAAAACTAGTGAAACTAGCAGCAAATAGCAGCGACTAGCAAGCACTAGCGTATTATAGTCAAAGCAAATGAATTGAGGCATGTAAAATATATTGTAGCATGCGTAAGTCGCTTGCAAACGAACCAAGTGAATATCGGAGACGCACGAAAACGAAGTGAGTGAATAGCGACAACGAACGTTATTATCCGTTGCCGCAATACACTCACTTCGTTATCGTGCGTCTCCGCTATTCACTTGGTTCGTTTACAAGCGACTTAAGCATTACTGTTGTTTCTTTTATGTATCATACGATACGTCTAGATAATTTCAAAACACTAGAAAAACTAGCAGCTACTAGCAGCACTAGTGTACTCACTAGTAATACTAGTAAGCGATTAGCGAATACGTAAATAAAACTAGCTTACTAGAATTGCTACGAATGTCCCCTAGAACTAGAGTAAGAATATTTTGAATATGGTAAACACACATTGTGATATTATTAAAACATAACATCTTAAGAGATTTTTGTCGACTCTATTTCGCTCTAATTTTATCCCTTGCAAAGTGACATATTTCTGTTTCTTACTCGCTTGCTTCTTTTTCATTCAGGACGTTTTTTTTTTGTTTTAAAAATTTTGGTTTATGATTTGTTTTTTTTCTCTTTCTTTCTTCTTCCACCATTTAGGTATATCTTTGAGACGCGAGTGGGGCGGCTGACTTAAACACTAGTCAGGGATTAATTAATCAAAATATGGTAAATATATTTTGAATGAAATAAACAATCTGAAAAACAAAAAATTCATCTGGCATTGAATGCAGCAGTCGAGTGAAGAAAGAAAAAAAAACTATAGGCAAAATATGTAATTAAATAAAGAGTCTTACGGGAGTAACACGAACTTTGCCGCACGGTGGTAGTTGCGTATTTTTTTAAGAAAGATCAAAATAATATTTGTTCGATTTTTCAAGCGGCGTAAAGTTCGAAACCAAAAAATATATTCAAACCTTGGCATCGAAATAGTCTTTAAATTAATGGCAGAAGTAATCGCAAAAGATTTTTCACACTTTCATGACGAACCCATTTGTACGACATATGAAAGTATTTTATTTTCTAACAAAACACTTTAAAAAAATATGTCTGACGTTAGTTTTGTCATAAAAAAATTACTTTTGAAACACTTTTCATAACTAGTCACAAAAAATTTGGATTTTTGTATAGGAGCCATGTCTGTATGTTATCTTAATGGCGTGAAACTTTGCACAGGTTATTTTTTTCACAAAAAAAATAACATT